CAGCAAAAAGGACAGCTTTGGCTAATGTAAATATTTTTATTCTGCAGGGGAAAGAATAGAGGGCTGTGTAAGACAGTGTAGTTGATAAAGGCAGTTGCTTCTCTCCTGCCTGTCACGATTAAAGCTAACCTGAGGCTCTGTGTGATCTCAACTAATCCTGCAACAAAAGGGCCTTTCATCCTAAAATCATTATATCACACTCAGCTCCACACACCACTGTTCAGGGAAGAGATGTTTAGCCCTTTTCAAGGTTCTTGTTTTGTCCTTGGCACAAGGTGGGGCTTCAGTGACTTAGGAACCAGCATCCTAATTTCAGCCTTCTGGTTCATCACTGCCTAGAGCACTTCTGCAAAAAAGACTTCCACTCCTGAATCCTAATCATCACCTCAAATCAGAAGACCCCAAAGTTTTGCCCATGAAGGGTATCTTCTTTGTCCCTTCTGCGCATCCAAATAGGGAGACAGAAATTTGGTCATTGTGTAAAATGACTGAGAGGAGAAGAATAATTAGCAGGACGCTGAAAGCTGAAGCTAGACAAATAATTGGAATCCAGGGTCAAATTTTGTACGACTGCCCAAAACCGGGGGGGGGGGGGGAAGGAAATGCCAAAATGTCCATGTACTAATATTTTTAAGATGAAGACAGGATTTCCTTCAGGGAGCTGTAATCTGTCAAACACTAAGGCTTTGGGCTAAACAGAGGGGTGACTTTAAGAAGAATCCTCAGGGTGAATTTTAATGGTTTGTTACATGCAGGTTAGTCTAAGTTCCTTATGGACTTAAACTTTATGGATAAATATTTCTTCAGTAAAACTCAAGGAGCTGATCCCACAAGCCAACCAAAATAAAATGTATCAAGGCCGAACATGGAAAAAACAGAGAGCTCCCTAAGACCGAATCCTCTCATTTCTCACTGCTGATTGATGAAAAACAATTCTGATCAATGATTCTTTATTTGCTCTGTGAAACCTTTGTAACCCATAAGATTACATACAAAAGCCTAAGTACCAAATCTGTATCCAGGTTCCCATGAAATTAAACAAGCAAAAGGGAGGAAATAAGGTCATTTTTTCATTGATTATAAAGAAAAGCCACTGGGGCAATGCTATAGAAGATAACCAATGAACATTTTAGATTAGATAAAGTGATGTTTTGATCAAGAAAAGTGGGGATGTAACACGTGACTTGCAGTGACTAAGTCTCATGGGAGCGCTACAAGAGAAAGATTCATTTATGACTGCCAGCACATAAAAATGTGTATCTCCAGCCATAACTTACAAGGATATTCACACCCTCATCTAACTGGTCTCCTGAACCATGTGCTGTCAATGAATGGCACAGCTTTTGGAAAGCAGGAGAGAAATAGTGACAAGATAAGGGCTGTATGCTTAATACTGCTTATGCAAAGACACAGCAACAACCTGGCAACTATGATAGTGCTCTAGTCTGGGACCCAGGAGAGACAGGTTCTAGTTTGCTATTACACCCTAACTTGACGATCTTACTACAACTCAGTTTTTCTGCCTCCTTAATGGGAGGTAATAGCCCTTACCTTATTTTAAAATGCACCATATCAACTGATAGGAGCTCCGTGTAACTGTAGACTCTTGTATGCAGTTAAAGGCACAGCCTGCAACCTGATGTGGCCCAGATATGGAATTAAACATTTCTAACTAGGGACACATAAAATTATACATTAAAATCTTCCCATTATAAGGCATTATGTCTTTTAACATAGCCTTATTCCTATAATACCTTCAGTTCCTTTTTTTTAAACAAGGTGACAAATGTTTTTGAACAAGGTGACAAGGTAACAGAATTGAGAAATAAATGAAGGTTAAATATGGGATGATCCAAAGTAACTGACGAACATGGCCTGATTGAAGGCATAGCTGAGATGCATTGCCGAGAGTATTCCCCCATTATCTATGTTGGACAGATAAAGAATTTTAATACAGAAGAAAGAGAAAAAAAAAGAGTTGAAGCTTTGGTAACTGGTATTTATCTAGCGAGATTTGTAAAGAAATATATGGCCCACAAGGAACTCTGGCAAAAAGTTAAACTGCCCTGTGGAATAGTTTAAAAGTCTTCTTTAAAGTTGCATTTCAGTGTTAACTCTTTGAATATCCACTAAAAACTATTTCATTAACATTTAGTGGCAGATCTACAGCTCTAGATGTGACTTGAAATTCAGAGGGCCTAATACGTAAGGTTTTTTTGGTGCACATTCTTATAATAGTATGCTTTAAAATGCTTCAACTCAGAGGATAAAGTAAGCAGAGAACTGGTCTTCCTGGCACTATTCCAGCACAGCTGAAATGAATTACAGCACTTCCAATGAAAGGCATAACGAAGAAATAACAAAAACCTAAAACTAAGCACTTCTACCATGTGGGAAGGATTTGAGTGGGCATAGCCGAGGTGTATGAATTAGTAGCTCAGGTCCGATGGATAAGTATACAGGCAGTGCAGGCAAATAAAGTGAAGGACTGGAGAAACAAAGAGGTTTTCTAGCATGTATCACAAAACAACATCAAAGCAATTATTTAATAACGTTGCCCTGACAGATTTCCCAGTGATGTAAAGCCGGTAGTATAAGGCACTGAGCCACCAGACCCGCAGTAGGAAGACTTTCCAGATACTGCATTTTTTCATGGTTCTGTATTGTCCAAATATGTGTGTGTGTGTATATACACATATATGTATCAAATTATATTTTAAAATCTCATAAAACATTTGAGATCATAGGATTACATGTTATACCCTCTGAATACGTATCAGAAAGACTCAAGAGGCCTACATTAAGCAAATCTGTCAATGGCCTGATGATCTACTGGACAGCAGGCCACAGTCTTTTTTTCTAGAAAGTGAGAATTATAAATACTCTGTATTGTGATAGTTATTCATCAATACATTTTATCTCAGTGATATCTGGATAAATTCAGAA